TTTTTATTTTTTGTGTATGAGTGTTTTGCCTGCATGTATGTAAGTGCACCCATGTCATACAATGCCTATGGAAGTCAGAAAGGGTGTGGGATTCCCCTGGAGCTGGAGTTATGGATGGTGGTTAACTGCCATGTGGTGCTGGAAATGAAACCCGGGTTCTCGGCAAGAACAGCCAGTGTTCTTATCCACTGAGCCATCTCTCCAACGCCCTAAACTAAATTTTTTCAAATGCAAATTTCTTTTCTAGTTTGGGTAACCTTGTTGCTGATTTGTTTTCTTTTCTTTGTTTTGTCGGAGGTAAAAACCTGTGTCTCAGTCTAACATTGCAACCAGCTCTCTTCAGGTTGACACTATATTACATTCGTCTAGGAGTGGCTGCCCTCATCTTTGGTTACATACAGATTTTTGAGGGGGTTATGACTGCAGCCCGACAGACCAAGAAAATTCGAAAACAGTTCTTCCATTCAATTTTGGCACAAGACATCAGCTGGTTTGATGGCAGTGACACTGGTGAATTTAACACTCGCATGACTAAGAGGATGAACAGGTAGAGCATAGAATTGTTTTTCACATAGGACATATACATGACTGAACTGCATGTGTTTATTCATTGCAGAGACATCAACAGAATCAGTGATGGTATTGGAGATAAGATTGCTCTGCTGTTTCAAAACATCTGTTTTTTCAATTGGTCTGGTGATTAGCCTGATAAAGAGCTGGAAACTCACCCTGGTGGTTCTGTCCACATGTCCCCTCATAATGGCTTCAGCTGCAGTTTATGGTAGGGTAAGTGATGAGTCCCATTGACTGGAAATGGATGTATGAGCTCAATGCCTTAGGAGTTTGAAAAAAAAGTTTGTATTCATTTTCCATGTCCCAAAGTATGAGATATTATAAGCCATAAATATCTCTGATTGTCTATCAATAATTACCTTCAAATTATGTGGCTAACATGTGGTTTGCTTTGGTATCTTACTTGCAAGAAGAAAAAGAAAACTTTATCCTCTCTTAGCAACCTAGTGCAACTTCAAATGAATAGTAGAGCAGACAGCACACGATGGCATTACACAGCGGATGTTTGCCTGTTTCTGCTGGGAGAGTCTTCTGTGTTCTAAAGTTCCCCGTGAGTAGCTCATTGCGAGGGTAGAACTGAAGGAGAAAATCCTAAGAGAATAGACAGTTAAAATGCCGTTTTAGGATGGGAGAGATGGCTCAGCAGTTAACAACTGTAAGTCCAGTTCCAAGATAATCCAATGCCCTCTTCTGACCTCCACGGGCATTGCACAACATGGGTACACTTACAAACATGCAAGCAATACACTCATACACATGAAATAATAATAAATATTTTAAATATATATTATATGCTTAACTGGTTTCCTTAAAGAGGTTGGGATATTTAGACAACAGATCTTTCTTTTTTGTTAGCATATATTAATTATATATAGCAATGGGTCACTTCAGGGAAGTCAAGATGTCAGAAGTTAGTCCCATCTCCAGTCGAGGGCAGGGAGAGAGTCCATGCGTGCTTCTGCTCAGCTCACTTTCTCCACTCCTACACAATTCAGAATCCCCTTCCCAGGGACTGGTGCCACCCACAATGGACAGGTCTTCCGATCTCAGTTAACATCATCTAGATAATCTCTTACAGAAGTGTGCACAGGCCAACTCAATCTAGAACAATCTTTCATTAAGACCTTCTTCTCAGGTGATTCTGGATTGTGTCAACTTAACAATCACAGTCAGTTTTCTGTTGCTGTGACCAAACCCATGATATCAACAACATGAGAAATCAAAGGTTTATTTTGGTTCACAGCTTCAGTTTTAATCTATAATGACAGGAAAAGCATAGCAAAGTTCATGATGGTGGAAGCGTCCTCATATCTCTGAGGACGAGGTAGGAGAGAGAGCTAGACCAAATCCAGAGATGGGGTATAACCCACCCTTAGTAGCCTATGTCCATCAACTAGACTCCACTTCTTAAAGGTTTCATTGCCTCCAAAACAAATAGTTCCACCATCTGGGGACCAAGTGTCCAAACACATGAGCCTGTGGCAGGGAGCATTTCACATTTAAAACATAACAGATTTATTCTTTGGACAACTGTGGTTGTGTTTATTACAGATGGTCATCTCATTGACCAATAAGGAGTTGACTGCCTATTCCAAAGCTGGAGCTGTAGCTGAAGAAGTCTTGTCATCAATCTGAACTGTCATAGCCTTTGGAGGCCAAGAGAAAGAAATTCAAAGTCTGTCCCTTTAATTAAGATAAAATGTATTTGCTTTTTGTTTTCCCCTAAGGTTATTACTTTGTGTTTTGTCTTTGTAAGGTATACACAGAATCTAAAAGAAGCAAAGGATGCTGGCATAAAAAAGGCTATAGCTTCAAAATTGTCTCTTGGTGCAGTGTACTTCCTTATGAATGGAGCCTATGGACTTGCATTTTGGTATGGAACCTCCTTGATTTTCCATAGAGAACCTGGTTATACCATTGGGACAATTCTTGCTGTAAGTCTTCTTTGAAAACAAAGGCAACAGGCCTAGATAATCTTTTCTTACCTGGAGTTTAGTAAAAAACTAAAATTCACTTTGAATGTGGGTGACTACTCAAAGATAAATACTTTAATAAACAAATATTTGAGACAGGCATGGTGAGGCACACTTTTTTATAACTCATTTTTTATTGATTGATTTTTTGTGTGAATATCATAAAGAACATCCCAAACAATCTTATTCATCTATATACCCACTTCCCAAATGGTACCCTCCCATAGCATCCCACTGCCCACTGGGGCCCATATACTCTGTCATCACTGTTAGTGTCCACTGTGTCGTCGGCATCCCCAGCCATTGTCCATCTGCTGAATCTAGTCAACATATCTACATTTACTTGTTTTAGGAAGATCAGCTGTTCCTCAACTAGCAAAAATCAGTTGTTAATATTCCTTTAGATAAGATTGGGTCTGCTGTTCATTTTCCCAGTTCTATGCTAGGTTACTATCTCTGAGTCTCTTGGGCCACCCTGGCCAAAAATTCAAAGGAAGGTATCTCCTATCTGGCATTGTTTTTTGTTATGTAGCCTTTAGCTATACACATAGACTCTTAAAAAAGTTATATTGGCCTCTTTAATCTTTCACCATGCCTGCCCTCACTTGGAAGCATGGAGGAAATGTTTCCTCTGTGTTGACCCTCCTCTTTGTAGACTGGATACTGGTTCAAGTCCATTTGATGGGGTCTCCATGGCCTCCTTGATCAAGAGGACAGGTGACCCACCGCAGTTATAGGACATTTTGAAAGATGCTCATAATCCCCTGGAACTTAGTCGACCTTGGAGGGCATGGAGGAAAAACTGTCCTTTATGTCCTTCTGACCAAGTTAGTATAGGCCTCAAAGTATGGCTGTTAAACATCCAAGAAAGTTAGTTCTACCAGTCTGGTACTTTTAATTACCATGTGCCATGTATATAAAGCTTGGGCAAAGAACAAACATTCTCAGATAAACCTTGCCTAGACATATATTATATCCCTTGATCTGGTTGTATGTAAATTTATCAGTAGGTTGTTGGATTAATATGGTCCCTTCTGGCTTTTTAAAAACTAGCTGGGCATTATTTATCTCTCATATTGTCTAACACTTCCCATTTAAAATACCTTCAATTTTCCCATCTCTCCCTTAATAATACCCTTCTCCTATGGTCCCACCTCTTTTGAGCACCTTCTTTTCCTTTATCCCCAAGTTTCCTTGTATAACCCTCCCTCCCCATTCCCATTTAAATAACCCCATTTTTATCCATATTTCCCTTAATAATACTTTTATCCTGGCAGTTCCTGTAGTTATGTCTGCATATATACTTATTAGGATTTGGTGCTAGGATCCACATATGAGGAAGAATATATGGCATTTTTTTCTGAGTCTGCGTTACTTCACTTAGTATAATAGTTTCTAGTTCCATCCATTTACCTGTAAATTTCATGATTTCAACTTTCTTTATTGCTGAGTAAAACTCCATTGTATAAATGAACCACATTTTCATTATCCACTTGTCAGTTGAGGGACACTTAGGTTGCTTCCATCTCTTAGCTATTCTGGAAAGAGCAGCAACAAACATAGACGTACAACTGTCTCTGCAATAGGATCAGTTCTTTGGGTATAAGCCAAGGAGTGGTATAACTGGGTCAAATGGTAGGTTCATTTGTAGTTTTTTAAGAGTTCTCCACACTGGTTTCCATAGGATTTGAACAAGTTTGCAGTCCCACCAGCAGTGGATGAGCATTCCTCTTTACCCACATCCTCTCCAACATTTGGTATCATTTGTTCTCTTGATCTTAACCAGTCTGACTGGGGTAAAATGAAATCTTAAAGTGATTTTAATTTGCATTTCCCTAATTGCGAATGATGTTGAACACCTTTTAAGATGCTTCTTAGCTGTCTTTATTTCTTCTTTTGAGAACGCTCTTAGCCCATCTTTTAATTGGGTTACTTCCTTTCTTGATTCTTTGTTTTTTGAGTTCATTATATATTCTGGATGTTAAAACTCTGTGAGATGTGTCGCTAGTGAAGATTTTCTCCTATCTGTGGGTTTTCTCTTAACTTCCTTGGGTGCTTCTTTTGATATACAGAAGCTTTTTTGTTTAGTGAGGTCTCATCTGTTGATTCTTGAACTTGTGTCCTGAGCAACTGATGTCCATTTAAAAAAAAAAAATCCTTTCCTACACCTGTATCTTGTAGGTTATTGACAATGTTTTCTTCTAACAGTTTCAGAGTTTCAGGCTTCACACTGAAGTCTTTGATCCATTTGTAGTTGACATTGCTGCAAGGTGAAAAATAGGGGTTTAGTTTTATTATTTTAGAGATGGAGATGCAGTTTGGCCAGCACTATTTGCTGAACATGCTGTCTTTCCTCCAGTGACTGTTCTTGGCCCCTTTGTCAAATATCAGGTGGCTGACATTGCATGTACTCATATTTGGGTCATCAATTTTTCCATTGATCTACAGGTCTATTTTTTGTGCCAGTACCATGTTGTTTTTATGACTATAGCTCTGTAACACAGTTTAAAATCGGGTATAGTAATCATCCCAGCATTGTTCTTAGTGCTCAGGGTTGCTTTGGCTATCTGAGGTCTTTTGTGCCTCCATATGAATGTTAGGATGTTTTTTTTTTTAAAAAATTCTGCAAAGAATGTCATGGGGATTTTGATTGGCATTGCATTGAATCTATAACTATCCTTAACTCTCACCCTAACACTAACCCTAACCCTAACCCTAACGCAAATGCAAACCCTAACCCTAACCCTAACCCTAACCATATCCCTCACTCTAACACTAACACTAAAACTAACCCTAACCCTCACACTAAAGCTAACCCTAACTCTCCAATCCCTAACCCTACACTAACCCTCACCCTAACTCTACCTACACCCTCACCGTAACCCTACCCCTAACTCTCACCCTCGCCTAATCCAAACCCTAAACCTAACCCTAATCCAGAACCTAACCCTATCCTTAGCTATAATATCATAGCATCTCCAAAAAGGGATAATTTGGAGATAGTGAACAGCCTTGTCTGGTTCCTGATTTCAATGGGAATGCTTCCAGTTTTTCTACATTTAGAATGATGCTGGCTGTGAGTTTGTTATATATGGCTTTAATTATGTTGAGGTATGTTCCCTCC